GCGTCTCACGGTAAGGTTGTTGAGGTGGAAGAGCGCTGCGGCCTTGGCGTCGGTGTCAGGGTCGAGGCGGTACGAGATCACGGCGAGGGCGTCGGCCGAGCGGGCGGCCACGCGCACCACGACGGTGCCAGGCACCGCGGCCTCGCTCAGCGCCGCTTGGTACGCGGCGCGCGAGAAGGACAGCTTCTCGTCGAGTTCGTTCTGCAGTGACACCCGCAGCTCGCACGACGCCGTATGGAACGGGGGAGCCTGGTCGGTGGCCACCACCTGCGGAAGGAGGAAACAAACAAACCCGAGTGGCAGGACGAGACGTCGACACTCCCTTAGAGCCCGCAGGAGCCGTCCGGCCAAGGGGTGTCAGCCAATACGAGGGGGCGGTGTGGCCAGCACCACAGCCAACTGCGTTCATCACCCCATTGCTTGGTACTCATTTAAGGCTGAGTTGACCTCACGGAGGCTCGTGGCAGATTCACAAAACACTCACCGCTGATGTTAGCCATGGCCGGGAATTGAACTCGGGGCATTGGGTTATGAGAGCGGTACGATAACGCGACACTACCGCTTCCCGTATCCAGCGCACGCTGTGAGAGCCCATGGAGGTTGTTACTGCATGCAAGGTGGTGGTGTCACAAGAATCACATCTAACTACCTTAGCCGACTCCATGCTAGCATTTACACTCTGCACTGGGTACTCATTTGAGGCTGAACTGACATAGGGACGCTCTAGGACGGGTGCAGATACTACTTCCCACTGATAAAGTGCGGCTTAAAATTGAAATCGATTGTAATGCAAGTGTGCAAACCACTGCCCCACACGCTGAGACAACGATGTTTAGTTTGATTCTAGTAACAAATTGGAAAACTACCCCATACAATGCAATATATACACAACTAATTTACAGCCTTTCGTCAATCCACAACTGGATGAAGAAAACCTCCATGCCGTGTAGGCCGTGAGGTTTATTTGCTAACGTGACTTTTGCAATGTTCAACATTACCCTGTTCCTTAGCAATGGTTTGTACTCCTGCCCCGACTTAGAAGTCATAAGCCACCACGAATTTTTGCACACAAGCTGTCTCACCTGGGCATGGGTCCCAGAAAACGATCTGGCTACTCTGGTGGGCCGCGATTTGGGAAGTTTTGGGAACCGCTGTTTCTAAACGACAGTCGGGCAAGCAGCTCGCAACTTGCTTGGGGGTTCAGTCAGCCCATCATCCCTCCATGTTCGATTAAAATGAGTACCACTTTTTAGGGAAGTCAACAGTGGTTGTTGTATGTGTAGACTCGCCCCTGCCATAGGAGCATGACGTTTTAACCATTGGCTCAGGGCTGTAAACATGAGATGAGCACCAATGCCTCAATGCTCATATGAGCAGGAAATGGCTTTGACTTTGACTTGTGGACTAAAAGCAATAAAACAGGCCACGTGCGTGCACTCACCATAGCTGGCCCTGAGGAGGATAATCGGTTTAAGTACCACTCTGAGCCACACTGGGAGCTGCGATTGGTGCTTAGCGAGGAGCACCGAGCTCTTCCGCAGGAACTCGGCCCTCCAGGGCGACAGTGGACCTTTAATAACCTGTTAGGCTCGCGCTAATCCCCTCAACAACGGCCTCGCACAGCTGTAAAGGAGCCGAATAGGGCAATAAAAGCAGTTCAAGTGTGCTGCACGGTAATCAAGGATAATAATTAAGGAACATTAGCGCAGGTAACGGTTTCGACCACGTGCTGTGGCAGTTGTCCCGTCCACATATATGAGGAGAGTGCGAGCGTTGCAATGCTTCTCCTTAAAATTGCCACGGGAGATTAGACCAAGCACAATGAGGCACTGGCAGCGGATGAGCGAGGGAAGGTGCCAGTTGAAGGCTCCTAATGCTGCGCACGGTATGGCGCAGCACGCGCATTGCGGCGGGCTAAGCCGTAGGATTTTGCCGTTGCTATGGAGGGATTGACGTGAATGCAATATCATAAAAAAAATGCATCGACGCCAAATAATGATTTGTACAATTTGGGCGGCAGAGTGGCATGCCAACAACATTGAGGTTCGATTGTTCCCGCGTTGGCGAGGTGTTATCTCCCTCGCCTCGTATATGGGAGAACTTGGGTTCGATCTCTACCCTGACACCTGTATATTTGTAGTTTGCATATTCTACCCGTGGTCACGTGTATTTTTCTCCAGGTCCTCCGGTTTTTCCCTCCACATTTAGAATAATGTATTTAGAGTATTTGGCGGATATAAATTTCCACGTGAAAAGCCACTCCGTTGAGGTATCATTTGTGGCCAGGTCGATTCTGAAAATTAGCTATATAGCTCAGTGGGCCTTACATGGTAAAATAAAAGTTTAGTTGAATCGTTTTAGTTTTAACTCGGGCACTTTTCTGAGCGGAGTTTGAGTGTTCTGCCCCTGATCTATATGGGGTTCTTTCGGGTTTTCTGGTTTCCTCCCAAAATAAAAAAAAAGTACAATTTGACTGGTATTGGCCAACCATCCCAAAGCTGTGAATTTATAGGCAAATTACTTGATTGGGATCACACGAAGCAACATTACCCCCACTCACAAACTTGGCAGGACAAACTCCTGAAAAAAGAGTCTTCGGACAGTTAGGCAGTCCTGGGTAAACAATCACAGTAATAAAAGCCCCAAAAAATGCATGGCTCTATTTTCAGTACCCAAAAAAATTAAATACTGCATTCAAATAAGAATTGGAGGAGCAAATCAAAGTGTGCCGATTTAAAACCAGCCATCAGAAAATATTTTTAATATTTAATTCTCATCAGGCCTCATGGTGTTAGGTGCTTGTTAACTCTATGTGCTACGAAGAAGGGTATTGTCCGAAACGTCGGCTATTATATACATTTTAATGCTACAGTGTTATTGACGAACATGTAGAGGTTGTATTGGTAATTGTGCTTGTGCACCACTCCCAATGCAGCGTCATCAAAATAAAAAAAAAACTTAATCTCGCTGAGGCTTTCCTGGTTAAATTATGAATTACTATTATTATTGTTAAGTTCTTTATCTTTCCCACCGACAAAAATGCGAGTCAGCAGTTTCAGGGCAGAATCGAGCGTGTGTAGCAGTTGGGGACGTGGCTCGTGTCTTCAGTTTTTGGCCGAGTGATTGAGGGATTTTGACCCAGATTCTGATGTCACGTTCCCTCTCCCACCTCCACACCGAGCACACAATGATGGGAAAGTGCGATTTTACCACCAACCCCGCACACCTCCGTCGCCGTTTCTCCGCCTTCAGGGGTTTATAAGTCACAGAAGAGCATCTAAATAATCTAATGTAGCGACGAAACACAATCAGCATCTCAGGATGCTGTCACAGCTGTTTGTGTAAAAATGGGCTATCCCTCAACTGCGTTTCATTGAAAACAATTGGTGCTGTGAACTCCATTTTCTAGGTTACATAGCCAATCTTATTCAATCCTGCTTGTTAACCCAGGTCACCCTTGCAAAAGAGGCAATGTTTCATTGTCTCGATGGGTTTATTTAATCTCTTGGTTAACTAAAGGAGACTACGGCTGGTGTAGCATTCACAATATTTAATATCACACATGCTTCTAAAACACTTGACTTGTATACAGGATATATACACACACTCATTGATCCCGGTTTATCTTCATGGACTCTTGGGACAAATGCTGTAAGCACAAAGCACCTATTAAGGCTGGCAGGCAATGATGAAGTGGTACGGCTAACACGTAGCCTAACCACCTTTGTTTCCCCAGCACTAATATTGATACCACGCATCATTGTTAATGTATTCCGAGTTGGCCTAAATCAGTCCAGGTTGAGTTTCTGGTCGTGGATGGATTGTCAGGGATCACACCCAAACTGCAGGGATCACAACATAATTCATTCACCACCACGTAGTCACTCCCAGCTTGATGGTACATTAACAACCGCCATTTGCCACTAAGTGGCGGTGACATCACCACGGCGCTTGTTCAGGCTAAGTGCAATTTAAGTCCACGTGAATCGTTCAACCCCCGCTGGCAGTAGGTCACGGGACAGACTCAGGTGCCATGGGTTGACTGACTGAAATGGTATGGGTTGACTGACTGAGGTACATTAACACACACAGAGACAGGTATACAGGGTTATCGCGGTAAATATCCTCCTGGGGCCAGGTGGATTATTATATAGCAGGATCGTGAGAGATGGTGACAGCTTTGAGATGCCTTCATCCAGCAGCAGATTGACTATGGCTGATGTTGATGCCTCTGCATTTCATCATTCACATTCACAGCTTATTTTGCATAGGTAACTTGCTTTGTCTATGTTGTACAAATTGTAAAAACCAGCATGGCATTTTCATGCATGGTCGCGAATCACTTTTCACGGGGCGCGACTTGGTGCACGCATGGTGAAGAGTGGGAACCGACGTTACTTGACAAATCGGCGTGATGTTAGCAACACCGGCCAAGCGGTGTGCCGAGTGAACACCGCACCATGAGCAGGTATTCAGGGCGCGTCTCATAGTCGATCGGCGCCACCGTCACGATGAGGCCCGTGCTCTCGTCGATGCCGAACGTGTCGTTTCCTCCGGACGCGATGGAGTAGCGCACGGTCCCCGCGTCGCCTGCAGTGGTGACACGCGACCACAAACCGGCTCTCAACGCGGTGCTCCCACCGCAGCAGCACCCAGAGCCCAGAGTCGAGGGCCAGGGGCTGCTCATGGCTTCAGTGAGGGGAGGCCTCAGCCTTCTATTTCAAGCTTTTATTGCTTTCCATAGGCGGAGTTTGACTTCTATATTTGGGGTGGGGGGGGTTCGCTTTGTCCCTCACATTAGGAATCGCGGATGCATGTAATAAATGTTTTTTTCTTATTTGTAAACATCTGAAATTAAATTAATACAGGTGTCTAGTTTGGGCAGGACGTTGCTCCCCCGTGCCCCCTCTTAAACTCCGCCCATGTCGCTTTCCAGCTGAGGCAGAAGATGTTAATGTAATTATTCTGTCCGTCCATCCATCTATAACGAGGGCCACTGTAAGACTCGTCAAGATAGTTCAATATGCGATCATTCAATATCTCCGATTGGCTATGTATGGTGTGAAAGAAGTTTAACATAATACAACATGAACAAAATGTTATTATAAAGTGATGTCGCTATTCGGAACCCATTGAAAACTGACCTAACTGATTAAATGGTTTCCCAAATCATGAAGGTACCAATTGCCACAGTTTTTGAAGTAGGCCATAAAATACTGGAATTGAACCCATGTCACCAGAATTATAGTGCACTGAAGTATTTTTTATATGATTGTTTTTGAGTACAGGCCCACAGGCACAAATGCCAAATTAAACATCACACAATTGGCATACACAACACAAATGCAAATATACCCTCTGTAGTCTTAAGTCCAGCATGGTGGAAGCACCATTGCTGGCCACCTTTATGTCCTCAGTGGTGAGGTGTACACTCTGAAGCAGGTACCCCTTTAAGGGAGGTCCAAAACCAGTTCAGATATCTTTCACCGCTGATGTTATCTGTGGCAAGGAATGAAACTGAGGTCACTGGGTTAATAGCACGGTGTACGAACCACTACAGCACCACTCTCCCATTATATGCACACACACGTGCACGTCACACACACCCAGGTCACGGTCCATTGCCTTGACGACGATGACCGAGGTGCCCACGCCGGCCGTCTCGCGTAGGCCCGTGCGGACGTACTGCTGCTGCGCGAACGTCGGCGCCTCGTCGTTCACATCCTCCACCACCACCGTCACCTAGCAACCGCACGGTGCACAGGCCCGCCAACTTCATTAGGCCGGCGCTGCTTCACAACCGCACGGTCGCAAGCGAGCACCCTCCCGGGCTGCCAGCGCCGATGGCTGGCCGACTCCCACGCTCGCTCGCCTCTGCGCACGCTTCCGCTTGGCAAGCAGCCACTTGCAGCGCTAACCTTGCCAGCAGCAAAAGCGCCGTGGCATTTATCGCCACCAATAAACTTCACAACGGCAACTGTTGACTGCACTCACTCTTGTTGTTCTGTGGCTGTGCCGCAAATTCCCCGTGCGGCCAATGGGGAACTGGCGCACACTGAATAATAATTCTCAATGTAAAAAAGTGAAGGAAATTAATTTAAAATGTCCTTGCATTTTGTAGTGCCTGCCAATTATATTTTATTTTCTCCTGGCAGATATATGCTGAGCTCCATGCTTGGCGTGCTGAATAAAAATCCCAAAGTCTGTCAAGTGCTCAATCACAAGATCTACACTGTGATTATACGCCTGTCCAGGAAAGTTCCACCATTGTCAAGACACATCAAGGGATTATTCCTGTGTACATTTTGGCCAAATTATTTGGAGCGTATCATTGTGTGTGGAAGGAAACCACTAGTGTCTGGGGAAAACCCACTTGTGGAAGGGGAGAATGCTCAACCTTCACCATGTCAGCCTGTCAGCAAGCCGTACTTCCCCTCCAGACACCTCATTAACCGCTGAGTTGGTCTCGACGTTTCACCCTTTCACTCTGTGTGACACGGTGTCACCGTATTCCCGTGCATGTGCGGCTCTCGCTACTTGCTCCGCAGGCCTCTCTAACCCTCGCATCTCAAAGCGCGACGGCTCAGCTCCGAGCACCCCCGCACATTCGCGCCGCGTGAGATGACGTGAACTCCCGCGGGGACCTCTCCCTGCGGACTCCCAGCACTTGCTTACGGCGCCGGTGAACCCCCCCCCCCTCCTCCTTCACCTCACCCTCCACCTCCACCCCCACCTCCCCCAGCGACTCCTCACCCGGATGATGCTGCTGAGCCCCACGCTGTCATTGTTGAAGGCCTCCACCTGCAGCACGTGCAGGGCCACCGTCTCGCGGTCCAGCGGCGTTGCGCCGCGGGAAATGAATCCGCTGCTCACGTTCACCAAGAAGTTGCCGTCTTGGTTGCCTGCGGAGATGGAGTCGGTGGCGCGAAGGCACAGAGTCCAGTGCAGGATTGTAACATGAATATATATGTGGTTATTCCAATTGTGCTATCTGTAACCGCGTGATCAGATGAAACAATGTCCAGCACATACCAGTGCATCACCATCTCACGTTAGAGAACAAACTGCAGAAGGAGATATTTAAAAAAAAACTACTTCTGAGATCCTTTTAAGTTACCTCTTGCCCATAAAAGGGGCACTTTATTTTTGCATACACCAACATAAAGATGTTTATAACGTGGGAATCAAACGGATATATTTTATTCTAAGATCTGAAGTTTTACTACTTGAGAATGTGGATTAGTAGCGGGTGGCCTAGCCCAGGTTTCAAGCCCAGGCCGAGCCACCTGGCCACTCCCAGTGGATGTCCCTTCAGCCCAACTCTCGAGTCCTGGGGCTTGCTGGTTTCGGAGCATTGCAGCTAAACGCACTTTATCCTCATAGGACCTCTTTTGCCAGTACCAAAATATACTAATAGGGGTTTTCCCCTTTTTTCTGGCAACAAAACTGACACCTATTTTGGTACTGGCAAAAGAGGTCCCTTGATGTAGCTGCTCACCCCGAGCCCTCATTACCCTGGTAGTGCGTTGTCTTGAACTGTGCGCCTTTTGGCGTCATCTGGTCGAACACCATATGAGACGAGGCTCCAAAGAAAGCTGTCGCTGGTGTGGACCAATCAGTTTCAAAGACAATGCATAAATTACCAGAGTATTAAATTTCGATTTAAAGCTTTCGTGACTGCAGGCATTCATCTTCTTGGTTCTTTCGGTAAAGTCATGTAGAAGGGAAGTAATAAAATAATAAAAATAAAACATAATAAAATAATTCTCATGACGTTTCGGCCACAACGCAAGCAGCCGTCCTCAGGTGAAACCAGGTCTGTGGAGGCGACAGCGTCTGAATGAAACAGCACACGTGCTTGGAGCATATATATAAGCTGGGTTGGAAGGGTGGGGGAAAGGGCGCCTTGACGAAAGAATTTGCATATCAAGAGGAATTTAGCATATTTATGGGAAATGCAGGTATGTGATTAGTACTACTTATGTCCGTGCATTATGCAGGATTAGCAGCATCCAAGGGAGGGGATATGGGAAATGCAGGTATGTGATTAGTACTACTTATGCTCGTGCATTATGCAGGATTAGCAGCAACCAAGGGAGGGGATATAGGAAATGCAGGTATGTGAATAGTACTACTTATGCCCGTGCATTATGCAGGATTAGCAGCATCACAGAGAGGGGATAGGGGTAGCATTAATAAAGGGAAGAGGTGTTAATAGTATGTAGCTGCAGTAACTAAAACCACCACTTAAACAACTAAAGTATAAACTACATAGTATCATCATTATACTAAATATACTCTACAATAGGCTGAGTTACTAACAGTAAGTAATTCATTACAATTCTACGTCGTAAAAAATATAATACGCTTCCATCTAAACGTTATTCTCTTACATCACACGAGTCTACACCGTACTATATACTGCCATAGACAAACCCAACATTAAATCATATACTGTATTGCTATAAACCACCCTATACCTTATCCATTGTAATATTACACTATGTATTATTCTACCCACCCTAATCTATATCACACTGCTGTATATTCACTATACAATTACGATACTATATATTACTTTGTACATTGTATTAAGCATATACATTTTTATACTATTTGTTATTATACATTGTACCGTTGACGGTCGTGTGAAAGATACTAAGAGGAAGAAACAAAATACGTCAATGCAGCGGAGCAAAGAATCCATTCCCTGCGGAGGATACAATGCCAGTGAGTGGAACGCGGTCTGAAAGTCACCGTAAACGTGAACACAATCAGTTAAGATCCGAAATGGTTTATTACGTCCTTCCAATGATTGCTAAGCCAGAATCCATCTTCTCGGTTGAAATTGTCTCTGTGTTTGTATATGTGGATCGCCTCATGAACGAATCTCTCATGGTAGCCAGATGGCTTGCAGAGAACCTCTGTCTTGGAGAAGTCAATATCATTTGAGCCAACTGAATTGTAACAGTGATCTGCCACGGCTGAGGTGTTTGTCCTACCGTGTTTCAAGTCTGCTTTATGTTCACGGATGTGGTCAGAGACATTTCGTTTGGTATCTCCAATGTAACTGCTACCACAGAGGAAACTTAGTTTGTAGACGCCAGGGTACTGTATGTCTGGAACCACATCTTTTACAGACGGGACCAGATCACGGATTTTATGTACTGTGTTGAATCGGACATGGATCTTGTGTTTCATCAGGATTTTGGAGATCTTTTTTGTGACCCCAGCAATGTAGGGTAAGGTGATGGTCTTGAAAGGCTCCTCAACAGGATCCTTCTTGATGGTTGGAGTGATGGCTTTGCGGATTGTGTAGTCGAAGTAACCATTAGCCTTAAGAGCTTGGCGTACGTGTTTGAGTTCACTGGCAATGTGTTCCTGGTCGGATATGCATTGGGCTCTATGGTATAGAGTCTTGATGAGGGAATTCTTCTGGGATGGATGGTGGTGGGAATCTGGTTTTAGGTAAGCATCCGTATGGGTGGCTTGAATACTGGGGTACCCCCCTGGTGAGACACTGCTTAACCAATACATACTTCACCTGGAATGGAACTTTCTACAAGCAAACTGAGGGCACCCCAATGGGCTCCCCCCTATCTCCGGTTGTAGCCAACATTTTCATGGAGAAATTTGAGACTGACGCCATCCAAACTGCTACTCTACGCCCGACCTCATGGAAGAGATACGTAGATGACACTTTTGTCATCTGGCCACATGGCCGGCCTGCTCTAGACCAATTTCTCGACCACATCAATTCCATACACCCAGCCATCAGATTCACCATGGAAGTCGAAAAAGATGGCAAGCTACCCTTTTTGGATGTCCTAATTAAAAGGAGACCTGATGGTTCAATGAGCCACTCTGTCTACAGGAAAGCCACCCATACGGATGCTTACCTAAAACTGGATTCCCACCACCATCCATCCCAGAAGAATTCCCTCATCAAGACTCTATACCATAGAGCCCAATGCATATCTGACCAGGAACACATTGCCAGTGAACTCAAACACGTACGCCAAGCTCTTAAGGCTAATGGTTACTCCGACTACACAATCCGTAAAGCCATCACTCCAACCATCAAGAAGGATCCCGTTGAGGAGCCTTTCAAGACCATCACCTTACCCTACATTGCTGGGGTCACAAAAAAGATCTCCAAAATCCTGATGAAACACAAGATCCAAGTCCGATTCAACACAGTACATAAAATCCGTGATCTGGTCCCGTCTGTAAAAGATGTGGTTCCAGACATACAGTACCCTGGCGTCTACAAACTAAGTTGCCTCTGTGGTAGCAGTTACATTGGAGAAACCAAACGACATGTCTCGGACCGCATCCATGAACATAAAGCAGACTTGAAACACGGTAGGACAAACACCTTAGCCGTGGCAGATCACTGTTACAATTCAGAGGGCTCACATGATATTGACTTCTCCAAAACAGAGGTTCTCTGCAAGCCATCTGGCTACCATGAGAGATTCGTTCATGAAGGATGTAATAACCCATTTCGGATCTTAACTGATTGTGTTCACGTTTACGGTGACTTTCAGACCGCGTTCCACTCACTGGCATTGTATTCTCCGCAGGGAATGGATTATTTGCTCCGCTGCATTGACATATTTGTTTCTTCCTCTTAGTATCTTTCACACGACGGTCAACGGTACAATGTATAATTACAAATAGTATAAAAATGTATATGCTTAATACAATGTACAAAATAATAAATAGTATCGTAATTGTATAGTGAATATACAGCAGTGTGATATACATTAGGGTGGGTAGAATAATACATAGTGTAATATTACAATGGATAAGGTGGTTTATAGCAATACAGTATGTAATTTAATGTTGGGTTTGTCTATGGCAGTATATAGTACGGTGTAGACTCGTGTGATGTAAGAGAATAAAGTTTAGATGGAAGCATATTATATTTTTTACGACATAGAATTGTAATGTATTACTTACTGTTAGTAACTCAGCTTATTATAGAGTATATTTAGTATAATGATGATACTATGTAGTTTATACTTTAGTTATTTACGTGGTGGTTTTAGTTACTGCAGCTACATACTATTAACACCTCTTCCCTTTATTAATGCTACCCATATCCCCTCCCTGTGATGCTGCTAATCCTGCATAATGCACGGGCATAAGTAGTACTAATCACATACCTGCATTTCCCATATCCCCTCCCTTGGATGCTGCTAATCCTGCATAATGCACGGACATAAGTAGTACTAATAACATACCTGCATTTCCCATATCCCCTCCCTTGGTTGCTGCTAATCCTGCATAACGCAGGGCATAAGTAGTAATAATCACATACCTGCATTTCCCATATCCCCTCCCTTGGTTGCTGCTAATCCTGCATAATGCACGGGCATAAGTAGTACTAATCACATACCTGCATTTCCCATATCCCCTCCCTTGGTTGCTGCTAATCCTGCATAACGCACGGGCATAAGTAGTACTAATCACATACCTGCATTTCCCATATCCCCTCCCTTGGATGCTGCTAATCCTGCATAATGCACGGACATAAGTAGTACTAATCACATACCTGCATTTCCCATATCCCCTCCCTTGGTTGCTGCTAATCCTGCATAACGCACGGGCATAAGTAGTACTAATCACATACCTGCATTTCCCATATCCCCTCCCTTGGATGCTGCTAATCCTGCATAATGCACGGGCATAAGTAGTACTAATAACATACCTGCATTTCCCATATCCCCTCCCTTGGTTGCTGCTAATCCTGCATAACGCACGGGCATAAGTAGTACTAATCACATACCTGCATTTCCCATATCCCCTCCCTTGGATGCTGCTAATCCTGCATAATGCACGGACATAAGTAGTACTAATCACATACCTGCATTTCCCATATCCCCTCCCTTGGTTGCTGCTAATCCTGCATAACGCACGGGCATAAGTAGTACTAATCACATACCTGCATTTCCCATATCCCCTCCCTTGGTTGCTGCTAATCCTGCATAACGCAGGGCATAAGTAGTAATAATCACATACCTGCATTTCCCATATCCCCTCCCTTGGATGCTGCTAATCCTGCATAATGCACGGACATAAGTAGTACTAATCACATACCTGCATTTCCCATATCCCCTCCCTTGGTTGCTGCTAATCCTGCATAACGCACGGGCATAAGTAGTACTAATCACATACCTGCATTTCCCATATCCCCTCCCTTGGATGCTGCTAATCCTGCATAATGCACGGACATAAGTAGTACTAATCACATACCTGCATTTCCCATATCCCCTCCCTTGGTTGCTGCTAATCCTGCATAACGCACGGGCATAAGTAGAACTAATCACATACCTGCATTTCCCATATCCACTCCCTTGGATGCTGCTAATCCTGCATAATGCACGGACATAAGTAGTACTAATCACATACCTGCATTTCCCATAAATATGCTAAATTCCTCTTGATATGCAAATTCTTTTGTCAAGGCGCCCTCCCCCCCCCCCTTCCAACCCAGCTTATATATATATATGCTCCAAGCACGTGTGCTGTTTCATTCAGACGCTGTCGCCTCGACAGACCTGGTTTCACCTGAGGACGGCTGCTTGCGTTGTGGCCGAAACGTCGTGAGAATTATTTTATTATGTTTTATTTTTATTATTTTATTACTTCCCTTCTACGTGACTTTACTGAAAGAACCAAGAAGATGAATACCAGAGTATTGTTTTTTGTTTGCATTTGACTGCAAGTATTGTGGTTAATGTAAACATGATTCCTTGCAATAGGAGTCAGTTTTGTTGCCAGAAAAAAGGGGAAAAACCCTATTAGTATATTTTTGTACTGGCAAAAGAAGGTCCCATGATGTAGCTGCTCATCCCGAGCCCTCATTACTCTGGTAGTGCATTGTCTTGAACTGTGCGCCTTTTGGCAGTCATCTGGTCGAACACCATATGAGACGAGGCTCCAAAGAAAGCTGTCTCTGGTGTGGACCAATCAGTTTCAAAGACAATGCATAAATTACCAGAGTATTGTTTTTTGTTTGCATTTGACTGCAAGTATTGTGGTTAATGTAAACATGATTCCTTGCAAAAGGTGTCAGTTTTGTTGCCAGAAAAAAGGGGAAAAACCCTATTAGTGCACTTCATCCTCTGAAGAGTTAAGAGCTGAAAATGCACAGTGAAACTGTGGATAAGGATGTTGACACTGTTGCAGATGTGTGTGTTTTGATTGATGCAATATTGGCTGTGCGGTATTGAGTCGGGAGTGGGATTTTAAATGAGGGGGAGCAGGGCAGCGAACGCTTCACCTGAAATGATTCTGTACCAGACTCTGCCGTTGATGCCCTCGTCGATATCGTTCGCCTGGACCTGCAGGCCACTCAGAGTCGCGCCGTCAGTGTAACCCCTTCCTCTCCCGGCGTCTCGAGAGGAAGTTGTCACTTATACATTAAAATTATGTTTTACATTTCATACCAAAACAAAAGTGTAATGTCACTCTCACGACAAACACATGCTTTGCCTGTAAATCACATGTGTACTACGTAGCTTACATATGAACAAAAACAAAGCTCCCCCATACAGCCTTCAACAGACTGTTGGGGCAAGTGCTGTTAGTGAGTGAGCACCTATGAAGGCTGGCACAACGCACGAGGGTGGTGGGTGGCCAACACCAAGCCCGGCAGCCTTTGTCTCTCTAGTGGCGATGTTTACACATCGCATCAGGTGCTAATTTGAGGCTGAGTCGACCAAGGTGAGGCCCAGGACCGGTTCAGATAATCGTCACTGGTGTTGGCCGTGAGCGGGAATCGAACTCGGGTCGCCGGGTTCGTAGCACAGCGCAGCGCTAACTGCTACCGCTCCACTAAGCACTGCAACACTCGCTCACGTACAACAACAACAACCGCCATTCGCCACTAAGTGGCGGTGACGTCACCACGACGCTTGTGCCAGGCCAAGTGCACCATGAGACCACGTGAAGTGTCGAACGCCCGCTGGCAGGAGGTCACAGGGCAGACCCAGGTGCCACGGGGCAGACCCAGGTGCCACGGGGCAGACCCAGGTGCCACGGGTCGACTGACCGAGATGACCGAGATGACTGGCTGATGCACCACCCGTGCCCCCTACTGTACCAACTTTCTGTGCTTTAGCCACCGCTCGTTGTTGTGAGCGTCGCTCCTCCGCCCTCCGTTGTTGTTGGAGGACGACTGCCTCCAACTGCCCAGTAGCGTCCTTCACGAGCCTCCTCCACAGAGGCCGATCTTGACACCGCTGGTACCAGTCATCGGCAAGTCCACTCAGCTCCACGTCCTCCTGTACCACATCACTCCATCTCTTCTCTAGCCCGTGCCGCACCCGTTTAGCCCCCTCGATCCGGCCGAACAAAAGCTGTTAAGGCATGCGGTGGCTGGGCATGCGGGCTCCATGACCCAGCCAACGCAGCCTTGCCTGCCGGAGGAGCTCACCGATGGGACTTTGCCCAGATCTTTCAAGGATTTGTGAGCTCCTCACACAATCCAGCCTGGTTAAACCCAGGATGGATCCTAGGCAGGCCAGCCTAAATGTTTCCAACCGGCGAAGATGCTCCATTAGGGGGGTCCACGTTTCGCAAGCGTAGAGAAGGGAGGGAATGACTGTGGTCGAGAAGACCTGAAGCTTCGTGCAGGAGCGACAGACCAGGTAGCTTCCACAGAGCGTTTGGAAGCTCACGTACACACGCGTACACACACACGCGTACACACACACACTACACACGCACACTACACACGCACACTACACACACGTACACACACACGCGTACACACACACACACGTACACACACACGCGTACACACGCACGCATACACACACGCGTAGACACACACACGCGTACACACACGCGCGTACACACGCACACGCGTGCACGCTCTGCTCGCCCGCATTCCCATGGACTCGCCTGCAGGATGATGGCGCCGCGCGTGACATTCTCGGGCACGGAAACCTCGTAGCTGCCCTCCAGGAACAGGGGCCGGTTGTCGTTGACGTCGAGCACCAGCACGTCCAGCGTGGTGGTGCCCGTGCGCCGGCTCCCTGCCGGGCCATTGTCTGCCCGCCCGCACCGCGCCCGGGTTAGCGCCAGGGGGGCAGTGGCACTCGTTGGGTGCGATGTACCGTGCACCAATGTGGGGCGACGTGGTGGGCAGTGAAGGGCAGTGCAGAAAAAGCTATCGTATTGTGCTTCTATGTTTCCACGTCTATGCTCCTGGCATTCAGTAACCAACACTGGCCACCAGCGCATATAACTCAACAGTCTACAGGACTAAAATTGTTATCTTGTTTTTGACAGTGGATATAACGTTAACCACTGAATTCAAACTCTCACTCGCATAATATGCCAGCCTATGTTTTCTATTCGAGAATGTCTACGTTTCCAGTTCACCTGCTAAATGATACATTTGATCGAGTTCCTGTTTAATCAATCACTGTAACTTTGTTCAGACAATTTATCGATCCCTTCGCTTCACTTGGACATGCACACACAGGAGGAGGCATCGTTCTGGGGATAGTTCCGTGAGCGATTCCCCAGCGCGCTCAGTGATGATGGAACCCCGTGTCTCTGATGTTCTGAAGCAGGTGGGCACTCACCAATGGCCTCGATTACCAAGGAGTAGGAGGCCTTGGTCTCTCGGTCCAAGCTCACAACCGTCCGCACCAAGCCGTCCCTGAAGCCGACGCTGAACTGCCCGTCCTGGTTCCCTCCTATCGCCACAGCCAAGGCCAGTGGAGAAAGTTGCACAACTTAGGGACGGAAAACCAAACCCACGTTGTCTCGGCAGGCGTTTCACTTTCTCTTGTTTAACCCGATGAGAAACTCTACAAAGACGACGGTGAGTCTTATTTGCAAGAATGGCCTGGGGTCACCACAATCACGAGGGAAAAGCAAGTAAAATAAAGTACAGCAAACGAAGCAAATATAAATCGGCACAAAACAACTATCAAATGAGAAATCGAAAATGTTGCACAAACATAAATCAATGTTAGACCTAAGTAAAATAATACATTTCCTCCAGTGCAGATCAGCTCGGACAAATAATTTTTAAACTGATCAAAGCAAAATGACCAAATTAAGTTACATAAATGTTACACGGATATATGGTTACTAAAGTACCAATATGTAAACTGATAAGAAACTCAACATAATAATCGAGCAGCATGTGTTATGACGAAGGGCCATTGCCTGAAACGTCATCTCATATGTTTCCTTTTAAGGCCACGGTGTTATTAACGAATATGAGTTTTTTTTGTTATGATTGCTCGTTCACCAACGCTAGCATAGTATTATGTATGTTGAAGTTCTGTCACGCCATACGTTACCAAACGTGTTAATCGCAGGTGCGGGAGAAGGTCAACAAGCTAGACACAAAAAGCAGCTGTAAAGAAAATTTTTTAAAATCTAGATTTAAAAGTGCACAGCTCCAGCGGCTTATTAATATCGGAAGAGCGTTACAGATGGCCGCAAAGCGCATCCGAAAGCGCGCGACGCGGTGACCGCCTTTGTTATGATGGCCAGCCAAGAATCCGCTGCTGCGAGGATAACCGGGAGTATGAACAGACTGGGGTCCAAGTGGAATGTGCGGAGGGCACCGGTGATGAAGAAGCTGAGCTCGGCGTTGAGGCCGGAGTCAGCATCCGTGCAGTTGAGGCTGATCACGACGGAGTCCCGGGCCACGCTCTCCAGCAGCGACACGGCGGAGCGCGTCGGATGGAACGTCGGCGCGTTGTCATTCACGTCCAGCACTGCGACGAGGTCATTCGGCGAAAATCTCCATTTAGTATATTTATACGTAGAAATATTAGCAGAGAGAGGGAGAGAGAGCGAAGGGCTCACATATGTATTTACAAACCCGGGTCATGTTTGTGCCCATTCGATTCAGCATAACAATTTCAAGTGGGAAGCAAAGCGCGTTTGGCCAACGTTGCCAACCGTCCGGCCTCTACTGCTGCACGGAGGTCAGTGGGTGCTCTTCTGTGGTGAGTTTTTGGTCTCAATCTGGTCACTAATAACTGCACCGAAAACAGTAACATTTTACTTTGGCGCTGCAAGTTAATTTGCCAAAATTCCAGCTTTGCAAATTAAAAAATATATAATTTTGACCGTCATGCAATGACTAGCTATCACTGTCAGTAGCAGGGCGGGTGGGAAAGTGCTGCCCACTACTGTGCGCACGACAGTAGGTCACTTCAATGGGTCTCGGTGGTAACTCCGTGATATCCACTTCTGTCGGCTGCTCTCGAGCACAAATAGCCGCACTAACTCTGTGACAGATCCGTATGTGTACAGTAATTTTGTCTTACGACATGACATTGATACGACAGTCAGAATATAATAATCAGAATATTTAAACTGGAGGAATCCAATGGGCTATCAAGCTCTTTTTTCACAGATGTCCAGCAGTTTTCACAGGTGTGCAGGAGAACAACACAAAACGAACTGCCGCAACAACAACAATAAAAACAACACGGCACGTAGGTGCGCATGATGCGGTCGCTGTACCGACGAGCGAGAGGGTCGTGGTGGAGCTAAGCGCCGGCGTCCCTCTGTCAGTGGCCACCAGTCGGAGCTGGTAGGCTGCCACGACCTCACGGTCGAGCTGCACGAGCGTGGTGATGAGGCCCGTGGCGGCATCCAGCTGGAAGTCGGGCCTGGGCAGGGCCGCTGTCATGGAGTACGTCACGTTACCGTTGGCGCCTTCGTCCGGGTCGGTCGCTGTCACCTGGAAGGGGGCGAGTCGTCGACAAGTGAGTGGTAAATGCGCCGGCGGCGGCGTCTCGTGAAGCTAAGCAGGAGAAAAAAGACGCGAGCCTGGTTTAGTAGCTCTTGGTCGTAAGACCACCTGGGGACCACTTGGACTGCGAGCTGACCAGGAGATAGCAGTAAAGCAGTGAGTTCTTTGAATGCGGAGATATATGGTGGTTATTAGGCAATGGGCCAGAGGATATGTTGGTACTGTACCACCGAAGGGAACAAAACATTAGAAGAACCGATTTATTTTCATGCCTAATGAGAGTGTATTTGACCACACGCTCGTTTTAAATGATCATGGGTTTTTGCTCTTTTTTCTGGCAACAAAACAAGTGTTAAGATGTTAAAACACAAAACTGAAACCTTTTACAAGGAATCATGTCTGCATTAACCACAATGCTTGTGGTCAGAATGCAAAAAAAACATACTATGATAATATATGCATTGTCCTTGAAACTGATTGGTCCACACCAGAGACAGCTTTCTTTTGAGCCTCGTCTCAAACGGTGTTAGACCAGAGGACGCAAAAAGGCGTACAGCCCAAAGACAATGCACTATCAGAGTAATGAGAGCTTGGGGTGAGCATCTACATTATGGGACCTCCTTTCTAAAACGTTTCAGTTTGGTGTTTTAACATCTTAACACCTGTTTTGTTGCCAGAAAAAAGAGAAAAAATCTATTATCATATTTTGGTAATGGCAAAGGAGGTCCCATGATGTCGTTTTAAATTGTTATAATATGGCTTACCGTTACTGGCCACATCAGGACATTGGAAGCTATAAGGCAATTATGCCACCTCAGTACTGTCAAGTGACATATCTGGTCTGGGCTCATGGACTAAACCCCCAGCACGCTCCAGCAACCCTCCTCTTCTGCTGATACCCTCGGGTCTGGAATTCCTCCCAACAACCCTCCATGTTGCTGAATCCCCCTTCCACTGTTCCACGTTTACCGTCTTCTGTCGATGACTGACCATGTTAAAAATGACCAGGTTATTATGTTAGATGTGCATACCTAGCCATGCGTGGTCATTTGTATCCTGTGATACACATGTCCTAACTTCCTCTATACAGCGTCTTCAGCTGCACTTAGACACTTTGTAAATCTACAACTGAATTTGTATACGAGTTTTCTCTGGGTACTCCAGTTTCTTATCACACCAATAATTCATTAATGGGAATGGCCAATCTTGCACTTACAAACTCTCAATTTGGAGTCTGCTAATCTATTAGCTGAACTAAATACATACAATATCAACTGGTAAGAAAATTACATCATCAGCAAATGTTGAATAATGTACAGTGAGGGAAAAAAGTATTTGATCCCCTGCTGATTTTGTACGTTTGCCCACTGACTAAAAAATGATCAGTCTATAATTTTAATGATAGGTTTATTTGAACAGTGAGAGACAGAATAACAACAACAAAATCCAGAAAAAACGCATGTCAAAAATGTTATAAATTGATTTGCATTTTAATGAGGGAAATAAGTATTTGACCCCCTCTTAATCAGAAAGATTTCTGGCTCCCAGGTGTCTTTTATACAGGTGAAGTACCGGTGAAGACGCTTGACGCCGAGGTTGAGGCACACGTATATTTATTTCACAGTATGACAGTGGGCATATACACTCTCGAGGGGGTATCGGCCCCCTCACCCGTATAACTCGGGATACACCCCTAGCTAACTCTGTCCTAGCCCCGAATCCTCCACTAATGGGCTAGGGGAGGCTAACTGGCCCGACACTGGTAAGTCGGGCCCGGTACCCGGAGTTCCAGACCAGCTCTTACAAGAGCACCGGCTCTGGCTTTCGGGACCACGCCGCTGGCTCAGTCCTGTCCGGCCCTGAAAAGGACATCGAACTAGGGGAGTCCAGGGCTCTATCTAAGACGTCTTCAGTCTTCTTCCCTTAGCTTAAACATAACTGACTCGAGCCCTTTGAACATCCCCTTTTATACCCAACCCCTCCCTGAGGGGTGGGGCCCCGGGGGATCATAACGTTCGAACCAGCCCCCCCCAGGGTGTCTGGCTCGGACGTCGTAGAGGGCACCTCCTCGTGCACTTACGTAGCCCCGCCCACTGTGTTTGTTTTCCATAGGCTGCCATGCATAACGGGCCCTCTCTTTAACACCCCTACATCACCCCCCCCCCCCCCCCCCCCCCGCATAGCTTGCAGCCGTCCCGGCTGCCAACATACAAAAATGACAATAAAAGTGCATTTACACCTTGACCGCGCGTGTGCCTCACTATTTTTCAACAATAACAAGAACAGCAACAAGAACACAACAAAATGCAACAGCAAGAAGAGAAAACAACCCGACGCACCCCCCCTTGAACAAATACGAATTCCGTAAAAAAACAACCTATATACAATTTGCAGGGAACCCACCATACACACAACACCAGGTGAACCCAACGTATGTACATTTCAATGGGCAGGGAACACACCACCCACACAACACACAATGAACCCAACATATGTACATTCAATGGGCAGGGAACACACCACCCACACAACACACGATGAACACAACCTATGTACACATCTTCCGGCCTCATAACAGTCTGCGCATTTTTGCGCGCGTCCTTGCCGCGGGCCCCTCACACGGGGTAACCCCGGGTGGCGGACCGTCAGGTGGCAATTGTCCGTCCCGGAGTGAGTCCTCATCCGATGCCGCGCGACCGTCGGTATCCCCAGGAGGGGTGGTCGGGCGTGAGCCCGTCAGTCCTGATGCACCTGGAGGTGGCACAGCCGGCAAGGCATTAGGTGAGAACGACGGAGACGGACCCAATGAGTCGGTCGACCCCCCACACGTTTGGCCACGCATGTGTGAAGTGGGTTTGTGTACCGCAACGAAGGGTTTTAACCTAGAGGGGTGCACGAACCATCGCCGCTTCCCCCATTTAATGCGCACGCACTGTGGTCGCAAAACTTCGACCACCTCCACAGGGCCCCGCCACGGCCGCACGAGCTTAGAGGAGGTAGCCAGTGGCACTTGGGGACAGTGCAGCCATGCCTTGTCCCCCGGCTTCCACTGTATCATGTGCGCCCGACCCAGCCTGAGGCGCTCATTCGCCTTTTGACGGAGGTCCGAGTTTAGCATTGCAGCATCCCGCGCCTCTGTTAATTTGGCCAGATTAAATTTGACGTGGTCAGCCAATTTAGTTTTCCCTTGCGGCTCGGGGATCTGCAGCTGGGCGCGAACAGGCGGGTCGGGTTCGCGACCGTACATGAGGTAAAAGGGGGAAAATCCCGTAGCTGCATGGGGTGCCATCCGGTATGCCGCCAAGACCCCTTGAATATGCAGGTCCCAGTCAGTCTGTGAGTCCGAGACCTGCTGTGACATCATTGACGTAATGGTGCGATGCAGGCGCTCGACCATCCCGTCAGTTTGCGGGTGATACGGGGAGGTACGAATTTTCTTCGTGCCTAGGAGGTCACAGACTTGTTTGAGTAATTTACCGGAAAAATTTCTGCCCTGGTCGGTCAGCAGCCGCTCCGGAGCACCTTTGTCCAGGACGTATCCCTGAACAAAGGCCTCCACGATGGCTGCTGCCGACTGGTTGGCAAGGGGCCAGGCCATAGGCCAGCGTGTAAAATACTCGACACCAGTCAACAAATACCTATTGCCCCTGGGGGTGGCGGGAAATGGGCCCAAAATGTCCAGCGTGACAAGCTCATTTATTCTGGACACTTTGATCGATTGTAAGGGCGGGTTAGACTCCCGCGCCGGCGGTTTCCGTTGCGCACACCGAGGGCATGATCCCAATAGATCCCCAACATCCCTCGTCATGCCAGGCCAAAAAAAATCAAGTTGTAGCAGTGCAAGAGTCTTTTGGGTCCCCAAGTGTAATAGGCGCTCATGCGCGGCCCACACCACCTTGCCTCGCAACCCAGAAGGGACCACCAGCCGATGTCGCTGGGATTTCCCGTCCCAATGCATCAGCAGACCTTGCACCATTTCCCATGCATCCGAATCACCCTTCACACGCCCAGCACCCCCGACGCGACGACGCCACCCGAGGAGGGAGGTATCCTCCATCTGGAGGCGCCCCCATTCAGTGACGGGCAACCCCAACAGGGAATCTCTTCCCTGTTGTTTGATCGAATTAGTAATTAATGTTTCGTCGTCGTCGGTGGCTGCCAAGACCGGAACCGATGCGTCCCCTGAAGGCCTGCAACGTCCCGACCCCAGGAGGCATGCACATTCCGAGGTGGTTGGCATGCGCGACAGAGCGTCCGCATTCGTATGGCGAACGCCCTTACGGTAGGTGGTTTCAAAATCAAAGTCCTGGAGAACCTCCAACCATCGAGACAACTGTCCCGATGGTTGTTGAACTCGCAGGGCATACTGTAGTGCCGCATGATCTGTGCGGACGGTGAAATGCCGACCGTACAGATATGGGCGATACTGTTGGATGAAATAGACAATTGCCAACAGTTCCCTGCGGGTGACACAATATCTTTGCTCCGCAGGAGACAACACCCGACTACCGTACGCGACCACCCGTTCCACGCCATCAACCACCTGGGAAAGCACACCCCCAATACCCGTGTTGCTCGCATCGGTGTCGAGCAAAAAGGGCTTAGAAAAATCGGGGTAAACCAAGGGAGGGGCTTTTACCAGGGCGTCCCGAAGGGAGCAGAAAGCAGCCTCCTCCTCTTGACCCCAGTGGAACCGAACCCCTTTAGATGTTAAATCGTGCAGGGGTTTGGCAATTGTCGCAAAATCAGCGACGAACCGTCGGTAATACGACGCGAATCCAATGAAACTCCTGACCTCTCCCACCGAGGTGGGAGTCGGCCAGGAGCTGACACACTGCGTTTTGGCGGGATCGGTAGCAATACCTGAGCGTCCCACGATGTGCCCCAAATAACGCACCGAATCGCGCAACAAATGGCATTTTTGGGGTTTGAATTTCAAATTAGCAGCCCGCATCTTTAGGAAAACCGCCCGCAACCTCTGGAGATGT